ATAAATTGGACAATTAGTAAGAGACTGTTTAAATGGTGTACACCAAAAATAAATTGGGCAATTGGTAAGAGGATAGATGTACAAATGGTGGTGTACACCAAGAATGGTTCACATATAATATAAGTGGTTTAACGGCTGAACACACTGGTGTTCTAAATTATTCTTTGATTAGGTTATATTTAAGACCTACAAATTTAATCCTGACCTTGAGTTTAACCTACAGATATATTGTGCAATCGAAAATTAGACATACGAGCTGATTTTTCATACAAATGACTTTATTGCTTTATATACATAACATGCATAATATATGAAATTTTATATATAATATGTGTATATAGTCTCAGTGTTCAAATGTCATTTATTTAAATTTTTACTTTCATTTCCTCACAAATAATACTGAGATAGTGATCTGACTCATATCATATGGTACTCATTCAATTCAGACCCGGGCCCGTTTATACTACATAAGAATAAACCACACTAAATTGATCTGGACTGGATCACAATAGCAAATTTGCTTCAAATGTGGCCGGCCCAATTCAAATGAGTTAGATCAGGTAAAGGTGTTTTAATACTCCGTATGATACTACTAATTACCGACTTAAGTAATATATTGACATTAAGGTTTTAATATGATGCTACTTTCGTGCAACCCGTCCACTATTCTTTGGAGTCCGGTCAACGTAAATTATTCTTAATCGTTTACTTTTTACATCCAATTTTTATTAGATTTGAGATTTCTTTTGTAACTTAAAAAACATTTCAATTTAATTTTTGAATATGTAAATTTTATTGATTAAAAATAATCTTATTATTGACCGATATAAGATGACTTGTCAGCATCATAAACTGAATGAGTACACATTTATCCGAGATGGAGGGATTACTATAGAACATACAGCGCCGGTCCTGACTAATTATGGGCCCGGGGCAAAAGACAAAAAATAGGCCCTATAGATGTTAGTGCCGGTGAACGATTGCAATATATGATCCCCTACAAAAAGCTCGTGATTAAGAAGCGAAAATGCAAAATAGCAATCGGCCAATTGTATGGAAAGATTAAAAGATATAAATAAATTTCAACTTTATATCCTTAATTAAAAACCATTTTCTAAGTAATATACTAGATACAAGTAAACCCAGAGAGAAAAGGATGCTAAAATATGAAAAAGACAGAAGCTACCTGTCATTGGCTTAGTACTACAAGTAAACCCATAAAGTAATATACTAAATAATTAAAATTATAAATTAATGTAGTCAATTTACATAATTAGTAAATGCCTGTGAGCACCGTGCGGCAGTGCTCGTCCTCGTCTGATGGTTGAATCCTTTGAGAGGTCTAGAGAGGATTAGAGGAAAAGGCAAAAATTAAGAATTTGAGAATTGAGTATTTAAGATTTGAGAGCAAAGAATAACGAAGGCTGACGGTTGAATCAATTAAGCAAAGCGTGTAGTTGATTATAAGAGACCGAAGAGATTCATATGATTTGTATCAGGGAGGCAGAAAGATTGAGTATCCAACGTTTGGGAACTAAATCCAGAATTGGTTAGGATTGGTATTAATGTTTAATTTTCGATTTTTGTGAGGGAGTTCGAAAGTCTTCCTCTCGCATGTGGGCCTTGGCTCAATCTAGAACTACGAAATAGAGATTGATATCTTACCGTATACGACTATACGGAGTACTATTAATTGATTTAGATATTTAGTATTATTAATTTATATATATATAATAACTACTATAAAATCTATGGGCCCCTTTTTCCTGGTGGGCCCTGGGCAGCAGCCCAGGCTGCCCCTATACCAGGACTGGCCCTGAGAACATATAAGATAAAGCATTAATTTGTAATTAATGTATAGTTAAATACTCACACATAATAAGTGTAGTTATTTTATGTGTGGGAAAATCACTCATATACTTGTAGTGCGTAGAATGATTTTAGAATTCATACATTATATGAGGTCTGTGAATAGGGTAACTCACAAGCTTGCTCTAAAATCTAAATGCCCTTTGAAAGTTGGATGGTAGTGTACGTGATCTTGTAACGCAATTTCCCATTGTATTTTATTCCAATTGACAAATGACGGTGATTTAGTACAAAGTCAGATTTCCTTTCAAAATAAACTTTAAAGTATTCAATTTAAGCAAAAGTTGTTTCTTGAAAATAAAACTTCAACCTTTATAAAGTAAAAAAATGAGAGTCTATATATAAATATTAAAAATTACAAGAACTATATGTTGAAAATATATACATGATTTTCTACCGCCCATTATTCATGCCATTCAACCATTCAAAATTACCAAGATAACCAAGACACTTCAAAAAATGATACTCTTTATTGTCTCATATACGCCAGTATATCTCAAAATGTAAATATAACTAATTAGTCATGACTAATTCTAATCTAAATGAAAATCAAGTCAAACCACCGTAGTTTCAAACTGTAAACTACATATACTCAATTCAAGGTTCTTAGAAAGAAATTGCTTTATGAAGATATGACACAATACTCTAATTAAACGAGTAAAAGTTTTAAGAAATATTTCCAATAATGTTATGACAGAACAATTCTACTCTGATTCAGCTCTACTGTCCAACTAAGGATTTAACTTAACAACTGCCATGTTGTACAAAACCTACATATAAAAAAGTTTCTACAAAAATTCAATGCGAGACTAAATAGTTGGACTCTCTATCAATTAGTCAATCTCTTCTCGGAAAGGGAGAAAGCACACTGACCGAGGTTTCTATACACGAATAAATTAAGAGTAGAATTGTTAGATGGAAATTAAAAGGTTGATAAATATAATCTAGCTCTTAATTAGCTAGAACATGCTAGGAATCAATATAATAAATTAATAATGATATGATGATAAGCAAGTACGTACACTGCATGCATTGAGACAATGGGAGATTATTATGTTTGTGGGTTGACTGCAATTAAGATCCGTCCTGCCTTTTCCCCGTTTGTTTGTTCCAAATTTAAATAATTAATTAATAACCCGTTGTCGTCGGATCTAGATTTAATTTCATTTCGCTAGAAAACCCAAATTAGGACAAACCCGATGGATCTGCCGGGCGACCGGATCTTAATTACAATACGTGCATGGGCATGACAAATCAACGTTACTCAACTGCTAATAACGAATGCATACACAAACATATACTATCTCCCCCGGTGTACTTTGCCAAGTGCAAGGTTGGTGAGAAATAAGAATAGTAAAAACTGTGTGGTTGAGATTTGTGCAGAGGAGAGAGAAATGTGAAGAACCGCAAATTAGTTGCTTTAATAGGAAAATGACAAAGTTTTTTGGGACAACCAAAATGACAAAGTTGACAAAGTTCAATGGGACGGGGAGTATATGCATTCGAAATATCATTATATAAGCTAAGGGTCCCTAGGACTCCCTACTATATACCAAGCCAGCTTGCATATTAATTACTGAAACTAAACATATGATATGATAAGATTTTTGTTTTTGTTTTGTGTTTTAACTTCACTCTTGATGTGTCCTTATACAAAATCATCATGTCTTTAACTCCTTGCACCAACTTTTCTTCCGGTGCTGGCTAGCTACCTTCCAAGCTAATTAGAACCAAATTCACCAACATTAATTAATTAGAAAGCTAAAAATACATGCAATTTGTTAATAAAAATAAGAATAGTTATTGATAATATCAAAAGGTTCAGAAATGTAGGTAATGTGCACTATCATAAAATAATAAATGTAAGTTCAAATTGTGCATTATTTAAACCACAAACGTGCACCATTATTTTAATCACAAATATGCACATTTGAAGTACTACACATATATTATTTTAATAATAAATGTACATTTTTGTGAGCGATAATGTGTGTTATGTTGAATTGTTCTCATTTCATGGGACGAAGTGTTCTTACCGCAGCATGACCCTATATAATAAATCATGACTATCATAGTTTTTCTTTTGAAAATATCACTCATTTACTTCAAAAAAATAAATTTACCTAGATTTAGAAATAAAGATTTGTTTTTCAAGAATTTTATTCCTAAGAAAATTTACAAAATGTGATGCCTTATATGCAGTAACTATTGTAGTTAAATTTAGTGATTGTGATTTTTTCAATTGTATGTAACTATGTCGTAGTTACTATGATAGATGTTACCTTCATAGTAACTTTAGAGCCCGTTTGGTAGTAAGAAAATCGGCTTATTTGGCTGATTCTGCTGAAATTTATGAAGTTTTGGCTGAAGTGGCTCTGTTGGCTGAAATGGCTGAAATGGTCATCTACAGTAACTTCAGCCAATACAGCCAGAAAATTAACTCTAACCTTACTTTTTCTGCTTATTACACAATTCAGCGCGCGAAAGCAAAAGTTATGTGCAGTGTTTGGTGAAAAAGTTGGTTGATAAGACTGATAAGCCAGAAAACAGTAGTTCCAAACGGCCTCTTAGTAACACCTCAAATTGTACATTGTAGACTTGTAGTACTAATAGCATAAACTTTTAGTTTAATTTTGATGTGTAAAGTATATTTGCATCACTAACTTGGTGAAAAACTAGGTAACAGAATATGTGCAATGTTTAATCACTAATTTGTTACTCATTTTGTCACTTGCTGTAATGTGACCAAACTATTCACCATAATTTGCTTCCAGGAATTGTGTACACCACCTTAAGGTAGCAAGTGATTTTTTCTCACCCCTTTTCTCTATAATGGATAAATGTGGTGTTCAATCACCATTTTTTTAAATAATAATAACAATAAAATAATCATTAATTAATTAGGACTATAATAGTAGTACTAATTAATCACAAGGTTGATTGAGAAATTGACGAAACAGAGCATGTTTATTGCAGGTGTTTCCAAATAGGCCATATTCAATTTTTTTGACAAAAAAGTGCAAAACGGAGTTGGGTACTCCGAAAATTAAAAGTGTTAGAAAGTTGTTTTGGCTCAGCTTTCCTCATTTCGGATTTATAAAATCCGAAAAGTGCTTTGGTTCAGCTTTGGGTGTCAGCTTTCTTACTTTCGGACTTGGCAACTCCGAATCCAGAGGATGAGATTTCGGGCTCCGTGATTGGTTGGCTACAGATCGGTTTGTTGTTATAAATTGACCTTCAACCTCCATTCTCCCATACCTTCAACCACCCCTTTCTACCCTCCTCTCATCCTCTTTATTGTTTATTGAAAGGTTAGTATCTTATTCATCTTCTTCCTTATTCATTGTTGTTGTTGTTATTATTATTATTATTGATACAATTTCTATTATTAATGTGTGCATATATTTTTTTATGACTTAAAATATTACAGAGTGTCAGATAAAATGACATACTACGTCTCGTATCGGATAAAAAAATACACTTTATCAAATAAAAATATTTTAGGTCAGATAAAATATCTCGGAATACGCACTTATCAACTCCACATCTAACATCATTATTTCCAACTACCCCAAGAATATTACCGGTCTGATAAAATATCTCGGATTACGCACTCATCCACTGCACACCTAACCTCATTATTTCCAACCACCCCAAGAATGTCTCTGTTCAGATAAAAAAATACACTTTATCAGATAAAAATATTACCGGTCTGATAAAATATCTCGGATTACGCACTCATCCACTACACACCTAACACCTAACCTCATTATTTCCAACCACCCCAATAATGTTTCCGTTCACATAAAAAAATACACTTTATCATATAAAAATATTCTGGGACAGATAAAATATCTCGGATTACGCACTCCGTAATATTACGGAGTTAATTGTACGTAGATAATAAATGTAGTAATTTTTTATTAGTATACTAGTAGTAATAATTGTAGAAAATGGTTTAATATTTCTATAAAAGTAGGTGAATAGAAAAAATGACATAATACGTATTAGTTAATGGTCTAAGAAATTGCTACGGAGTATTTGTTATGTAGTACTCTGTAGTAGTTAACCCATCCTTATCTAAATAAGTGTCTTACTTCCATTTTAGATGTATTACTTGCTACATATTTAATAATTATAGTTAACACTTTGTATTAGATGTACACGTAATATTTGTAAATTTTTATTACAATGCATTGTTATTTATTGTTGTTCTTGCCAATATTATAAATTATGGTATTGTAGAAATTGGTATATGTATTTAAGAAATTCATAAGTTGTTATAAAATATATAAAATATTTAAGAAATTCATAAGTTGTATTGGTAAATATATAAGTCATATTAATGTTTAAGTAGTTATAAAATAATAGTGGACACAAAAAAATATAACGTTAGTTGTACTGTTAAACTACATAAAAATTTGAACACATTTATTGAATGACTTAAAAACATGAAAACAAATAGTTTATGTTTGCTTGTTAATTGTAGGTTTGTAATGGCCGAACGAGTTGCACACCCAGGGCCTCAGGATCGTTCAGTGTTGTTTATGCTACCGGATGAGCATCGTGCCGATCGTGTGTGGCATGAATCATCATTTCGTGACGTCAAACTGAAATGCCAGCACTATTCGAGAGAAGCCTACGTTGAGGAGGGTCCGCGTCATCCTAGGGTGGTACAGTTGCTGAGAGTATCGGGCTTTCATGGTGTGGAGAGAATAGGACAATTGCAGTTAGATTGGTCTCTTGTGACTGCGTTAGTGGAGAGGTGGAGACCCGAGGTACATGCATTTCACTTGCCCTTTGGTGAGGTAGGATTGACCTTGCAGGACGTACAAGTGTTGTTGGGGTTGCCTATTGACGGCATACCACTCACCGGTCCTACGATTACTGAGAAAGCAGCGTTATTGCAGATGTGTGCAGATTCTGTTGGTTTTATACCAACAGATGAGGATTTAAATTCACCCACCATAAAAGTACCGAATATCCACCGCATTCCATTAACTGAATGGAGCACTGAGAACGAGGTGACTCAACACACTAGAGCCCTCATTTGGCAGTTGTTAGGCGGTTCGTTATTTCCTACCACTAGTGGGAACATGGCGAGCTGGTACTTCTTGGAGTTGTTGCAGGGCAACTTAGCAGAAGTGCACCGATGGAGCTGGGGCTCAGCCGTCTTGGCCTATCTTTATCATACCATGTGTAAGGCGGCCAAGGCCAAGGCTAAACAGATCGGAGGATGTCTAATTCTTTTACAAATTTGGGCATGGGAAAGGTTGCCGATGTTTCGGCCCCAAGGTCATCTCCCTTTGGAAAGTATTTTGGATTTCCCATATGCTGCTAGGTATAATATACATAAAGTAATTGATATTTGTATATTTATGTTTTTCATCTATGCTATTTATGTAATTATATTATTATTATTGGAAACTAAATGTAGGTGGGCATGTCATCATGATTAGCAACAAACAAACAGATTTTCGTTGCGGATATACAGGGACCAACTAGATCGGATCACGGAAGATGAGGTATATGTTGTACCAATCAAATGATATAAATTGTTATGTGTGCTTACTGAATGAGAGATATTTTGCAGTTTGAATGGACCCCCTATCCGTTGATGGCCCTGCCAGACTTTTGCCATTTTGCAGACGATTTGTGGGGTGCGGAGGTTCCATTGATATATACGCATATTTCTGAGGCGTACTATCCTGGCAGGTTTTGTCGTCAATTCAACGCATATCAGAATAAATCCAGACTATAGGTAACATTGTAGCATTTTATTAAATCTACTATATATGTTTGTGTGGTTCATAGTAATTATGTAGTTGGGATTAAGATAAAACAATTACTATTAGTATCAACCCCGCCATAATTGCATTCCGACTTACACAAGAGCCAAAATCGACAAACTGCTTACAAGTAAGTTCATCGCTTCTGAAATAAGTTCTACAATTCGCATAAAACCAGACTATAGTATTAAGCTAATAATGAATGACATACACCAAAAGTATAACATTCGTGTTGGATATAAGAAAGCATGGTATGCACGTATATTAGCATTGGAGCAACGGTTCGGCAATTGGGAGACATCGTACAACGATCTCCCAAATGTCTTACAAGCAATGGCGTATACTAACCCAGGGAGCATAATTGATATTCAAAGTGATAACACCAACACCCAAGGAACATATGAGTTTAAATTTGCATTTTGGTCAATAAAAGCGGCGATTGACGGCTTCAATCACTGTCTTCCGGTGGTGTCAATTGATGGAACTCACTTGTATGGCAAGTACAAGGGTCATCTCCTAGTCGCGGTGGCAATGAATGCCAACCGTGAAATCTACCCTCTAGCATTTGGAGTGGTAGATAGTGAGAATGGTGCTAGTTGGAAGTGGTTCTTACAATTGCTTGTGACACATATCATACCCCCTGATCGAAATGTTTGCATCATCTCCGATAGGCATGCGGCTATAGATTATGCATTTCGAAATGTGGAACAATTGGGAACACCTCAAATTCAGAGACGTTATTGTCTTCGCCACATTAGAAGCAATTTCATGACCCAATTTAGAAGTAAACAACTAAAGAAGTTGTGTTGGCGAGCAGGAAGTACCCCAATTGTAAGTGAATTTCATCATTATATGCAACAAATTCGGGGTACTAACGAGAGAGCTTTCAAGTATTTAAATGACATTCCCCAAGAAAAGTGGGCACTTTGTTTTGATGGTGGTTGTCGATATGGTATTTTAACGACAAATCTTTCAGAAAGTTTCAACAATGCTCTCAAAGGATGTAGGACATTGCCAATCAGTGCCCTTGTGCGAGCGACTTTTGACAAACTGGTCCAGCTCTTCGCCCAACGTCGTACTGCTGGTATGATGTGGCAGCAAGCTGGATATCATTTTCCGGACAACATTCGGAAAGAGCTTATGGAGCGTTGGCAACAACGACCTCACACTGTGGTTCTTCCACACAACCATTACACAGGAATTTACTCGGTCTCCGTAGAAAATGCAACACCTGTTACGGTTAATCTATCCAGACGTGTTTGTGACTGCGGTTGTTGGAGGATGAACGGAATGCCATGTGTCCATGCACATTCTGTGTGCCATTTTCTAAATTGCAGTGTTGATTATCTTATTCCTGAGGTATACAAACTGAGTTCTTACATAAATGCACATTCCAGTGATATCATGCCATTTCCGAATATGAATGAGTGGCCGCAAAATGAGTTCATTCTTCTTCCGCCTAAGTACTCTTCCAGAACTTCTCGAGCTGGGCGCCGTCAAGAAACAAGATTTCCAAATGAGATGGATATGCGTCCAAGACGAAGAGGACAACATGATTGATTTGTATTTGTACTCTTATAATGTAATCTGTTTTTGTACTTTGTTTTAATGTTTTAAAATATTTATTAGCCATATGTTTTATATGTACCTTTAATATGACTTATTGTGCAATGAACTTTGTTTTATTTTGAATTCGTATGACTTTAATTTATGGGTCACTTATAAATTATACGTGTTATATTGTAAACTGTATTTGTATTTACTTTGGAGTTCATAACATTGAATGGGTCAACTATTTTTAAAAATCGTCAAATTGATTTAATATATTGATACTTTTAATCAATGTAGTTTGTTCTTCTAAATATATTAACATATCGATACTTTTATCATCTTTTCCGGGTTCACAATATTTAATGGGTACGGTTTTATAATTTGAATTACGTTCAAAACATTATTTTGTTAATGTAAATGTAACATATTTTTTACTATTTGTGCTCAAAACATTTAATGGGTCACTTTTGTAAAACGTATGCTAATTTATTTTAATGGGTCAAATTTAAGTAAAACGCATGTTTTTATCTAAATCGGGAATCACACGCAAATTCAATTAAAATACAACTATGGTATGATTTTTAATTACGTTGAACAATATACTCGTACGATTTATACGTTTTCAAAAAAAATTGATTTATAACAACAATTTTTCAAAAATTCAAAAACACTAAAATTAAGGACACTAAAATTGATTTATACGTTGAACAATTAAGGACTCCTATTTTCGGATTTGCTAACTCCGAAAATGAGTTAGCACTCGGAGTCCATTTCCGAGCTTAGTAACTCCGAAAATGAATTCTTCCTACCAAGCTAAATTCGGACCTGCCAACTCCGTTTTGCACTCTCTCGGAAAAGGTCAGAAAAATTGCACTTTTTGGAATGCGATGTAAAAAAAATGCTCTTTTCCGTCAAACACCCAGGTTGATTGGACTATAAAATAAATTTAATAAAAATAGTAGTACTAATTATGCACCACTTTTTATGGTGTACTATACAATTTATTTTTATTCAATTAAATAGGACCCTTTTTTCACTTGATGTCTACGGTCTACATATAATGAATGTGAATATGTGGTGTTCATAATTAAGGACTCCATTTATTACATCTTAGAGGCTTGAAGCTAATATCTTTTACAAATTATATTTGAAAATTGCGGCCCAACTCAGTATATTTAATTATTTATAGTTAGTTAGTCATGGAACTTGAGTGATGGTGGGACATATATAAACAATGCATCATATCATCGTTGTCTACTACGCCTTCAAGAGTGGCGCTTGTAATTCCCAGAGCTATAAAAGTAGCAACGTGAGATGTTGGTAAGGGGCTAAATCGACGGCATATTATGATATATAATATTATAATATTAAATATTAATAATTATTAATACATAGATATATGAATTTGAATAATAATCACAAGTGTTAGGCTGTGTCGTACCTTCTCTTTAATAGTGTCATATAATAATGATCATGAAGTCAAGACGACCGGATTAATTGCTAGGTCGGTGGACAACCCACCATATCATTTTCTATTGTGGCAATTTGAATTTGAATTATAATTTTCTATAATTAAAATTACTCAGTCTATTTTATACTCTTTCATATGAGTGGTCCTTGCTTGGGATTATCATTCCCAAACTAGACGGATTCAACTCCCATGAAATTCATTTATTAGTACATAAACTTATGGTTTAAATGGTTTGTGATGCCATCGATCTCTAGAGAGATGAAAAAGAATATAGCTAGGCAAACACAATAAATCTAATTAGAGTGGTGGAGCTAGGTAAGATGATACATTGGCATTGTAGGTATCGTATAAAGAATTTTCTAAAATCTATTTACTCCCTCCGTCCCATTAGAAGGTTCCTCATTTTCCTTTTTTGGACGTCCCACTAGAAGGTTTACATTTCCATTTTAGGAAATAATTAACAATATTAAGTGACAAAATAATCATTAAATATTAAAAACAATACATTTATAATATCGCACTTATCAATACTAACTACATTATTATATATAGCTATTAAAATTATTTCTCAAGATATACTCGAAATATTTTATTTAATTATTGTCTAAATAATCGTGTCGTTTTGCTATGGAAATCTTCTAACGGGATGGAGGTAGTATATATGTCTGTTATTAATTTATTGTAACTGAAATTATGGTAAATTGGCAATCGTGTCCATTTTGTTTTTTCCCACTGACTTGATTCACCGTTTTTTATAGCATAGTTTATTTACATGAATTTACTTTATACTTCATATTGTTTACTCTGGAGCATTAAATCACCAGTGTTGACCCTCGTTTACGGTGCAAGTACATAGACTTGCAAATTGCGGTACATGTGGGAATAGATTTTGTTACTATAAGAAACAAACAAAAGATGATTGACAAAATCATTGAGTGCCCTGCCTGGACTTTGATTGACAATGTGCACGTGTTTTGGTCTTCTTAATCTTCAGATTAAATACCCGACTTCAACTTGAAAAACTCCCAAAAATATCTCACCGAACTACAAATAAAAGCAAAATACTTTTTCAATAATTTATTTAACTAATTATGTGATTGAATTTGGAGTTGGAATTTTACAGACATAAACACACTTCATTAAGAATGTAATCAAAAAATTCCATCAAAAACTATCCCAAGAGGCAGTGCCCGAACGAAGGATTATGCCCGAACAACTGGACAGATCTTTTCAGTTGAATTTGTCTTTTGACTGTCCCAAAATTAAGGATAACTTTCTAAATGATTTTACCTGATGTTGAGTTTTTAATACTTCATCATTTGTTTTATTTAGATTTATAACTTGGGATTAGGACAAGAATGTTATCAAAAAATCATCGGACAAAAAAGATGTCCTCTTTTTAATTTCCGAAAATAAGATTAAGGGTTTGTTTGCAACAGCTTCTGCTTTTAAAAAAGTGCTTTTTTAATAAAATGAGGAGAAGTGATTAAATAAAAGTTAATAGTGTTTGAGAAAAAAAAGTGATTTTGAAAAGTAAAAGTGGGTAGTGTTTGATAAAATAAATGTTTTTTGTGTAATAGAAAAAGTAAAAGCACTTTTGACGCGGAAGCCGAGAAAAATAAAAGTTGTAGTGTTTGGGAAAATAAGTATTTTTTTAAAATCAAAAGTTGAGAAATGCTTTTTTAAAAGGAGTTGCAAACCAACCCTAAAAACAAGTACGAAGTATGAGCTAAAAGAGCCTTCTTGGACAAGTGCAGACGTGCAGTCATGCAAAGGTAGAATCCAACCGCTGTGAAAGCTCTTTCTGAAATTCATAACGGGTCCAATATTTCTTCTATGGAGTGTTAGCGAAAGATATCAGAGAAATGAGTTTGGAGTGTGACTTGTTTTTTGTATGATAGACATTCCTGGTGGTCAATCCACCTAGTTGTATTGTTGATACTTTGAACTTTGATTTTACTATTTATTGATTGACATATCAAAATATCAAATATAGAGAATATATCATTTGACATAAAATTGCTGTCAAGTGCATGTTACCTCATTACTCAGTAGCTTCAATAGTTCAATGATACAAAATAAAATGAAATTACATCAAAGTGATAAGATTTCTATGCATATTTGAGACCATTTGTTGCCAACCTTTACCCTTTTACTAGGAAATGGGATATATCAACCAGCTAGTTCCCAGTAAATATTGACACGCATGGGATGGGATTCTTCTTTGATAAGTATAGAGCATGCCAGCAGGCAGTAGCCAGAAAACGCATTATAGTTTGGTTCTCTTTAGACTTGCAGAATTTGAGTATCTAGCTTTTTTGTCGCTCTGCGGCCTTTCTCAGTTTCTCCAATACTGAATCTTCAAACGCCTGATATCCTGCACCAACAAGTTTGTCCTCCACCACAGGTGCTGCTGACGGTTTGATCGTTGCGAGTGGCACAACCAAAAGAGGATTAGAAAGGTCTCCCAAAACGACCCCGCAAACCAATTCAACAGCATCTTTGGACGCCATAACAACAAGAGCCGACCCTTTTCTCTTAGAGCTTCTTATCACAACGTCTTCCACCTCACCAAACTTCCCAAATAACTCCCTCAACCGTTGGGCAGTATAATCTACCACGCCAACCTTATCCCAAGAGACTTTAAGCACCTTCTCTTTATCTACACTAACAGCCCCCTTACTAGTAGCTTGGGCGTTACCCCCTGATACTCTCTCTTTCACCAAAGTGGAGGTTTTATGAGCATGCATTGCGCGGATTCTTGCAATTTCCTCTTTGAGTTTTTTGGCGATGCGCTCTTCATCTTCTCGGGCTCTCGTCGCGTCATCATCTGTTCGGAAAGCGGAACGCTCTCTTGCATCAAGGTCTGACATCATCTTCTGGCGCTTCGCATCTTGGTGAGATTGGCGTTTTGACTTCTCTTGTTTAACCCGGAGTAGATCGTCAAATAGTTTCCTAGCTTTCTCGTCCTTGAGAATCTCGTATGAAGTTTTCAGCTTTTGGAAATTTATGTGTGCATTTGGATCATCAGGTCTCTTGTCGGGATGCAATTCCAATGCTTTGGAACGGTACGCTTTGGATATCTCTTTTTCAGAAAGCTTGGATCCTTCTTCACCAGAGGGTAAGCCAAGAATATCATAATGGTCGATGTGAGAATCCATGTTGTCAGATGTTTCCTCAACTGCAAGCAGATCTGAACAAAAAAGGTTTACTTTAAATGTCATACAAAGAATTTGAGCAAATAATTCCTTCAAAAGAAGTCTCTTTTATAATCTTATATATTATCCTGACATTTTTAAATGAATTACAATAGCTTTCCCCACTAAACTAAAGATAAAAGAGAATTATGGTCTCATTATTGAGAGTGCAGATGGTAAAAGTGGAAAGAACACATTGTGGAAAAATGTGAAAAAACTACATTTGAAGAGTCATTAAATTTTCTTAGTGCGGAAAACAGATGAATGGAAGTAGAACAACCAAACATATCACATGCCCTACTACCATTAGGTTAACATTATGCAAAAAAAAAAAAAATCTCAAATTGTTGAACTTGGTTAATAATAGCTTTCTTTATAAACTGCTATTTTGGCAAAATACATGGATCTTTACATAAAAACACCTTCTTGTTACTTTAGCAAGAGTAAGTATGTAATAGTCATGTATATTGTGTGATTATATTGGCAAATTACATGTATCTTTACATAAAAACTCCTATATATATAC